CACACACACACACACACACACACAGATACGACACACACACACACACACACACACACACACACCACACACACACACACACACACACACACACACACACACACACACACACACACACACAGGTGTGTATTTGCGGCTGATGGCTGTTTGCTCATGTCCGCCACCTGCTGTTCAGTGCTGTAAGTACGCCACACTCACTGTTTACTTCAGTCACTCGGGTTTGTCCCACCTGCTGTCAGATAACTCTGAACACAATGAGCATGTGGTTTTCACCCAATATGCAGTCAGCGCACACATCTACACAATGCTGACATCTTAACACATGAGCTGTACCTCCCAACAAAATGATGGACAGTTTTATTTAGGAAACACACAACAGCACACACCATACTGAATAAACCTCAGATACAGTATGAACCTCTGCTTCTGCAATGATATCAGCTCAAAACAACAGCAGCATATATCTCAGCTGATGAACAAACCCCTGGATAATCGACACACAGCTGGGTTATGATGGGTTATCTGAGTGTCCCAGAGGCAGGGCTGATTCATTTACACCTGTAGAGGAACAGCGGAACACATGTGGACTAACCCTGAAGATCACAGAGATCAGAAACAGCCATGTTGTGCTTGTGTTCTTAAATCCCCTTAATATCTGGGCTTTTTGCTGTTGTTTCTTCTTCATGCTCTCGTGTGTTTGATGGATATTTTGTTCACTGTAAGCAATACCGTGTTTCTACTGGACCTCGAGACAGTAAAGGGAGAGAAATCTTCTTAGTTTTCACTGGAACGCTTTTGCATGTGAACATTGCTGTACATGTGGACACACAGTCCCAACCAAGACCATGAGTGTCAAACAGTGAGTATCATGTTCTGCATGCAGATACCTGTAAACTGAAGCATGAACGTCTCTGCTGTCTCTGTAATGTCTACAGCTGCCGACATTCTGCTGAACTCTGATGGACTATGTGTTACTCTTTGACAGATCGGGTCAGTGTTTTGGTAAAGTTAGTGTGTTCAGAGAAAGATGTGCTGTTCTGAAATGAAGAGTTAGTCTATATTTAACTAAATGTATTTTTCAGAAGAGGATTATCCACTCGGCCAGTGGTGTTTATAGGAGAGTCTGTGTTAAGAGTTTAGGAAAAGTAGCTGAAGTATGAGTGAGCACTTACTGATCGAATAAACTGTAATATTGTAAATAACAGCATCTGCGCATTACTCTGACTGACGTGAACATTAAACCCTGCACTGTAAAACACAGTAACTCCAAACCTTTGAGGAAACTGACTGCAACAAACTATTTAAGTTCAAAAACTAATCTAAATGAGTACTGTGAACTCACTGCATTAGAGTAAACGAAGCAATGTGAGCTGAGTAAAACCCAATAAATGAAGAGAACTCAAACCAGCTGAGTCCTGGAAACCCAGTAAGTTAAGGCATCTCAAACTGTTTGAGGAAACCGATTGCAGCAAACCATTTGAGTTAAAAACTAATCTAAATGAGTACTGTGAACTCACTGCATCTCAGCTGAAGTAATGAGGTATTTCACTAACTCAACACTGACCAGCACATGAGTAGATCTAACTTTCAGTCAATGTTGAGTGAACTACACTCATGTCATCTGATGAAGCGGACTGTTGGGTTTTACAGTGTGGAGATAATAACATTAGCAACTATTACAACTCACATCTGTTAAACTCACAGCTGAAGAGACATGTAGAATATCAGAGAGCTGCATCTTATTCATAATCTTCCCTCCATGAACACTGATTCTGCAGAAGAGAGCATTTCTGCCTGTGTGCATTACTGTGTGTGTTATACTGTGTGTGTTATACTGTGTGTGTTATACTGTGTGTGTTATACTGTGTGTGTTATACTGTGTGTGTTATACTGTGTGTGTTATACTGTGTGTATTATACTGTGTGTGTATTAGCAGATGAGCTGCAGTTTTCCTGTATATTAGTGTGGTCAAAGGTCAAGCAAACAGCAGTGATCTCCTGACTAAAGTTGCCCATATGTGCAGTGTTTGTGCTGTAGGTGTGATAAATGTCCGGCTGTTCATTTAAGCATTCTATACGCACCATTACATAAAACCACAGCGTTTCCTCCGCACTGTAGGGTTTAGGTGGCGTGTAAATAAAACAAAGCCTTTCTCCAATACGATGCCACGAATACACAAACCGTGGTCCAATCCCAGGTCTAAAATTAACCCTCCAATCGAAACCGCAAGTGTCTGTTCTGTATATACACAAAAGGCAAGCAGCAGCCTATGGGCTTCCAGGAAGCAGTAATCGCGTAATGAAAATGCCCAAGTCCTCCCTCTAATCTGCTCTATCCTTTTTATCTGGGGATTCAGAGCAGAGCGAGCAGAAAGAGCCGAGAGACACAGAGATGCAGGCGCTGCTGCGGGAGTAGGGTTCACCGCCGTCTGTACACTAGCTAGTGCACACCGCGTAGAAGATGCCCGGCCTTGTGCCCTGGGGTGTAGCGCTGGCGCTGTGCTGTTTCCCTCTGCTCTGCGGCTCCTGTCCGGCTCAATGCAGCTGCTTTTACCACAAGCTGAGCGACGGATCCAAGTCCAGGTGAGACTCAACCCAGATCTGTGACTGTGCTCTGACATTCTGCTGTAGAAAGTCTGAAAATGAGAGTATTGTGCAGGACACTGACCTGCCAGATTGACCCAGCTCTCGTTTAGGCTCTGGATTAACGTGTGTGTGTGTGTGTGTGTGTGTGTGTGCCTTTTTAATCTTCTCTGCTTGTTAGCGGCGGTGTTTCAGCCTTTAGCGCTAATCACCCTCAGTTTAATAAAACAGTGAAGAATAAAAGTAGAATCTGCTCATGGACAGCAGCAGGGTTTGACTGTGTCATGTGTTCAACAGGAGTGTTCTGTGCAATGACCCCGATCTCACCGACATCCCGGACAACTTTCCCCTGGACGCCTCCAAACTGCGCATCGAGAAGACGTCGCTCAGCCGCATCTCCAGCGCCCCCTTCCAGCAGCTCAGCAGCCTGGAGTACCTCTGGATCTCCTTCAACTCGCTCTCCTCCATCAGCCCGGACACTTTCCGTGGACTGTACGCTCTGGATGAGTTACGGATGGATGGGAACGTTCTCACTTCTTTCCCGTGGGAATGTCTGCTGGACATGCCCAGCCTGCGGCTTCTGGACTTGCACAACAATAAAATCAGCAGCATCCCGGCAGAAGCGACGCTGTACATCCGGAACCTGACCTACCTGGACCTGTCCAGCAACAGCCTGACTACAGTTCCACCGGAGGTGCTGATGTCCTGGTTCTCCCCGAAACCTCCATTGGACGCTGAGGGCTCCAGAATGATTCTGGGTGAGTGTTTCTGCACCGCTGTCATTGCTCTAGACTCTTCTCTCTGACAGGTGAATAACCCGACTCTCTGTTCTGCACACAGGTCTGCACGATAACCCCTGGCAGTGCGACTGCCGCCTGTTTGACTTGGTGCAGTTCCAGAAGTTTCCCTCGTCCTCTGTGGCGTTCATCGATACGGGCCTGCGCTGTGCTGAGCCGGAGAGTCTGTCCGGGGTTCTGTTCTCAGACGCGGAGCTGCGCAGGTGTCAGATCCCCCGCGTGCACACGGCCGTGGCCCGAGTCCGCAGCTCCATCGGGAACAATGTGCTGCTGCGCTGCGGGACCATCGGTGTGCCCATCCCAGAACTTAGCTGGGCCCGAGCTGACGGCAAGCCCATGAACGGCACCGGTATGTTAGACCTGCGGCCCGCATACTGCGATACACACCCTCAGAGCAGCCGTGCATTGATTAATGAAGAATGTGGATGTGTTGCTGATGTGTTGAGTGAGCAGCCGGTGTAGAAGAGTGTGTGTGTGAGAGTGTGTGTGTGTGTTGTGTGTGTGTGTGTGTGTGTGTGTGTGTGCTTTGTCTGTGATGGCTGTGTGCAGCTGCAGAGCTCCTACTAAAGTCAGTGCTCTCTCTGTTTTGCTCCTAGTTCAGCAGGAGGTGTCCAAAGAGGGCATCATCTGGTCCATCCTCAGCGTGCCCGCCGTCTCCTACCGCGATTCAGGAAAATACGTCTGCAAAGCCACCAACTTCGTGGGCAGCGCCGATGCCATCATCTCACTTGTTATTTCTGATACGTGGCAGATCGACGAAGCGGTGGCCAAGAGAAGCCACGGGAAGAAGAGCGGAGGCTTCGGGCGCGCGGCGTATCAGGAGAAGCTGATCGCCAGATACGTTCCTCCGTCCACCTCGGCCGCTGTGCCGATCATCGAGCCACTGAACTCTCCGCAGGGCTCGTCCTCCGTCCAGATCGAGAGCTACAGCGTTTCAGCAGACGCATCAAAGCTGAAGCCAAAGCCAAAGCCAACAGCGCCCCCTGTGGGGCAGACGGAGCCGGTGGCGCTGCAGAGGGATGTGCTCAATAACCTGGAGCCGAACGCCTCCTCGCTGCAGCAGGGTCCCGAGCGCCGCGTGGTGCGCTCCGTCAAGGTCATCGGTGACACCGACCACACGGTCTCGCTGAACTGGCGTGCGCCCACCGCCACCAACACCACCTCCTTCAGCGTGCTGTACGCCGTGTTCGGGGAGCGCGACATGAGGCGCATCAATGTCGGCCCAGGCAAGAACCGCATCACCATTGAAGGCCTGGTGCCCAAAACCAAGTACATCGCCTGTGTGTGTGTGAAGGGGCTGATCCCCAAGAAAGAGCAGTGTGTGATCTTCTCCACGGACGAGGCGGCGAGCGCCAGCGGCACACAGAAGCTGATTAATGTGGTGGTGATCACGGTGGCGTGTGTGATCGCCGTGCCGCTGACGCTCATCGTCTGCTGCGGAGCGCTGAAGCGGCGTCTGCAGAAGCTGCTGGGCCGAAAGTCCAAAGACATCCAGGACTCCTATGTGACATTCGAGACGCTGCCGCCGGGCACCAAAACCAAAGGGCTGGAGGGAGAATTCCTGACCCGACTGAACCCAGACGAGTCCAACCGGCTGCTGTCCGCACGCTCTAGCGTCGACTCCGAGGCCACGGCGCGTACTGAAGGACAGCCCAATGAGTACTTCTGCTGATGGACACACACACACACACACACACACACACACACACACACACACACACACACACACACACACACACACACACACACACACACACACACACACAGCTGCTGAGAGAAGTCTCAGTGTTTAAAAGGGAAATGGATCATCTGTATTCTGTGTTTGATCAGAGCGTGCACTTTTCCAATGATGCGGTTCATCATTGCTTCATTTCTCCAACACAGAACATTATCAAGCGCAGCACCTAATACCCATCTGTCTGATACAGGGCGAGAGTGAGATGTGTGTTGGGAGTGTAAGGGAGGCTAGTGATGCTTTATTTTGACTGTTTTTCTTGATGCTGTTGTCTTGTCACCCATCAGCTGGGCCAACTGTTTCCACTGTAACCTCAAACCCGTGCTTTTACTTTGTCATATGCACATGTGTCGATGTCTGTATGTACTTTAATATCTTGATCAAAGATGAACTGAATAAACCATGCTTTTTTTAATATAGTTGTTGATGTCGTCCCGCTGATCTGTCTTTATGCATCAGAATAGCTGCTCAGCTTATCTGGCTTATTCTTAGTTTGTCTGTGGGTTCAGAGCAGTATTTAGGAACTTCCGCTGAAGTTTGTCCGTTGAGGATAATCAGATTTACTCCACTGAACCAGTGAACCGTCATGCGTCCGGCCCTGTGTGTGTGTGTGTGTGTGTTTTAAATGTGGAGCAGGGTTACATCACAACACACACCTTACATCACAACACACACCTTACCTGAGATGCAGAGTGTAAATCTGTTTGAGACATGCACGTAAGAGAGGGAAGGATTTGGAGGATTTATAATTACTTGCACTAAACCCTGATTATTAAAAACAACTACAAATAAAACTAACTACATTAATAGATGCTGTTATGTGTGTGTGTGTGTGTGTGTGTGTGCAGGGTTTAACCGTCCGGTTAGGGCTGTAATCACGGTGTTCTTGATGTTCTGGTCGTTTATGAGTTCTGCTCGGTCATTAATGCTTGTTTTGGTCTTTAATCCCAGTGCTGGAAAGTAACTAATTACAACTACTCAAATGACTGTAATTGAATAGTGTTTCTCAGGAATCGTAATTCTCTGTGTAGTGTTATAAATGTGTGCTTTTACTCTGTCTTGAGTTCTTGTTTACTGCAGTATCGGTTCTGTTCCTCCTCTACTGTCCTCCAGTCTGCATCACTACTGGATTATTTCCTGTCTGATTACAGAAATCAGTCCTGCGACTCCTGACCAATCAGATCACTCATCCCAATAAACACAACACATGTTGTGACGTCAGACCAACGTCAATGTCCAACATCCAACCTAAAACCAACCTGATATCAACGTCTAATGGTGCTACAGCTTGGCGTTGTGTGGAGGTTACCGCTATGACGTCTATCAGATGCTGGATGTCGGTCGCCAGACCTGATGAATAAATGTCAGTGTTTGACTCAGTATGTCGCTGGGTTAAGATGTGGACTCGATGTAGGATTCCAGTCACTTGCTGACAACCTAAAATCAACCAAACATCAACATCACTTGACCTCATCATTGGACATCAAAATAACGCTGTTCTTAGACGCTGGCCAGACCTTGAATATCGGTCACCTGACATCACGACCTAAATCTGACCTGATATGAACATGTGATGATGTTGTGTGTGTGCTGGACAATCACTAAATGCACTACAGAATGTTTGGTTTACACACACACACACACACACACATGCGCTTAACACAGCGCAATACTCTCCTCTTGAAAGCTGGACTGTTCACTCATACTCTGAGTGATGTTTACAGCAGACACTGTTACTCTGCATCTGTAGGAGAGTCATGCTGCTCTACTGGAGTCTGACTGATCACTGCTCTCTCCACCACTGTTTAATCCACATCAAATGAAATCAAATGTCCTCGATATAGCAGAGTGAAGCGTCAGCCTCTGCCTGCTGATCTTACTGCTGCACTGTAGTGTTGATGACGTTCAGTGATTATTTCTAAAGTGGTTATAAATGATGATCTGACGTCTGCTCTCTTATTAAAGAACACTTGAAAAGGTTTTATTAGTAACTGAGTTTACAGCACAGACGACACATGATCAACAGCTACAGCATCAGCACACGCTCGCCTGCACGCTCAGCCCATCCTACAGTTCTGTTCAAACATCAGTGCAAAACTCTTTACAAAACAACAGATAATAGTGATTACAATAATGAGAATAAAAAAGGTTTGACAGCAATAGCTCTGAACGAGAGTCTGTTAATGCGGTCAGAAGACGTTCACTGTAGATCCTCAAGGCAGAAGACGCAGTGGAGAATCAGCCAATCACAGATGGACAACAGATTCCACTTCCTGTTCAGTCTAAATGAAGGATCCTAAAGATGGCGGAGTGGTGCTAATAATGAGATTACACAGGGGTTCTGCATCACTGGAACTAACGCAAGACAGCTCTAAGAAGCTCAGCTCTGTGCATTACTGGAGTAAACAGCATTCTGCTCACTGCCTTCAGTAAACAAACAAACAAACAAACAAACAAACAAACAAACAAACACACACACACACACACACACACACACACACACACACACACACACACACACACACACACACACAGAGCTGTATTGGCGAGGTGCTTAACTCTTCTGGTGTGAATATACTCCAGACGCTGAGTGACCGTACGCCATTATGACAGCAGAAACACTGAGCTGAAGCAGACGTCCACTGAAACACACTGACAGTAGAAGAAACACTTGTTCAACATTAAGGTCCATCAGAACCTCCTGCTCAGGGCTGTCAGTAATAGTAGCTCTGATTGGCCTCGATGATCTTCTGCTCGATCCTCATCTTCAGCTCCGACACCAGAGCCGATCCGATGCCGCCGGTGCCCTCCCTGCTGGAGCTGCAGGCCACCGCGCCCGACACTGTGGGCACGGGCCGGAGCTGCTCACTGGATGCCGCCGGCGAGCATGGTAGGACTGGGGCTCTGGGGGCAGGAACTCTGGGGGCAGGAACAGGCGCTCTGGGTGCGGGCGTGGGTGCAGGGGCTCTGGGTGCTGGGGCTCTAGGTGGTGGTGCAGGCGCTCCGGGTGTGGGTGAGTGGGCTCCGGGGCTGCTGCTGTTGTTGTTGGTGTTCTGGTTTCCTCCACTTTCCTCCTCTTCTGGAACTGCCGGGCCGGGCTCCGTCTGCCCAAACGCAGGTCTGAAGCTCCAGTGCTGCGCCTCTTTGGCTCTCCTGCGGATGATGCGGCGCGCCGGCATGATGCGGTTGGACTTTGTGTTGCGGCAGTAAATGATGGTGGAGATCAGAACCGTCAGCAGAACCATCGCAGTGATGCCGCTGAGCGCCAGAACCAGCACCTGCAGCGGGTTCTCCCGGCTCTGCTTCAGGAACGTAGACATGGGCCCGTTAAAGCGGTTCTGGAGGACAGAAAAAGACAAACAACTGATGAAAATATGGTGAAGATTTACAGAGGAATATAGTCTCACATCACCACTAACCAGAACTTCAGCCAGATTCTGCTGGATCATTTAGATTATAATATCTTATTAAACTCCTAATAGATCCAGTATTTCAGTCCTGCACAGCTGGACAAAATCATTGGCAAAAGTCTTGAATTAAATTAAAAAGTCTTAAATGAATTAAAAAGCTTGTTGAATTGCACAAACTGGAAAAATAACACCGAGTAATAACCGAGTGCCTGCAGTTTAACCACAAGAGTTTCTGCTTTTAGGTCCTGAAATTGAACACTGCTGTTAATTAAGCTGTGGGTACAAAATACCCAGTACCCTTTAAAATACAACGTATAAAATTCAAAAGGTAAATTTCACTTCATTTTATTTCAGTTCAAATATTCGCTTCCAAAACTTCAGAGCCTCCAAAAGATTCAACATTACATCTGAAACTGCAGGAAAAGCAGGAGATTGCAGACTGAAGATCGCCAGCCGCTCTTTCACCAGCAGGTGGAGCTGGAATAATTTAACATTTTTACCCAGTAAACAGGCGAGAAAAACACTGAGAAAGGCTCAAAAGTAGCATTTATAAGTAATAAAGGAGTATGAGTAGAATTAATGAATGATGTTTTGGTCATCTATTTTTGCTCTTATGTAAGGGAAGCCAGCTGGTGATCGAGTAAACCTCACTCATCGGATCCAGCTTCAGACGTTGTTCTGCCGTCTCCTCAGAACATTTGTCTCTCATGCCGGTATCGCCGGTATCGCCGGCTCGCGCCCTGCTCGGACCGGTGGGGTTAAATGCACATAATCCGTCTTTTGATGAATATGACGTTACACATTCTCTATCTTTATTAACTCTTTCTTCCAAAGTATTGTTTTGTGTACTAAAGAATATCAACGTAAGAGAAACAGGAGAGGAAAAATAATAATAATACAACATAGATGAACATAATTGCCAGGGCTAAGAACAATTAAGATCAAAGATATGCAAAACCAGAGAGATTGTATGAGAATGTCACGCAGAGCAGTTATTATTAATATGATTATTATTATTATTATTGTATGATAGTGATTTAGGCTGGTCTGTTGCGCTTAAATAAGTTATCCCTGATTCTACATCAGTATTTAATTTGATCACTCTGCCTGCCGTTCTCTTCATTTTTCTAGTTTATGTGGTTCTGCCCCGGTTAAATGTTTGCCAAATGTCTTCAGTTTGTCCAGATTAGGCTGATTGTTTTTGTTATGTAGCCTCGGCTTGCTGTTCGCCTTTTACACATCATGTCATGAGCGAAAGAGAAATGGTTGCTTTAAAAAACTTTATTATTTAAAACAATTGGAGACTTCTAAGACTAGAGAAGGAAAGTGAATGAAGGATTGAATTGATTGGTGTTTTTTATACCTGTGCGGCTCGCACGCGGCAAACCTGAACGACTAGAGTGGCCGCGACTAGCTCAAACACTGGCCGAGAGATGCTGGATGGCTGCCAGTATATGATGGGAACTCTTCTTTCAGATGATATCTGGGTTTGTGCATAATTATGAATGTGAAAAGTGAAAGTCGTCACATTTGGCCAAGCATGAGAATACAGGAGTGTTTCCACTATTATATTAATCATGACATATGTGAAATATTAGCTTAGGCCTCTATAAATAACCCCTCGCTGTTTAATGATTCCGAGAGGGAAGCTATTGGCGCTAAATGCTGCTAGTAAAAATGTTATAAATAATGAAGAATATTAATGGCTTTCTTAAATCTGATCATATATATGTGGCGACCCCAGAATAATAAAGGGACTAAGCTGAAAAGAAAATGAATGAATGAATGAATATTACAGGGTCTGTCAACCTTCCATATTCATACGCAACTGTGTGTTAGAAGATTCCACAGTTTTTCCTGAGAGCGCTGAGTTAGGGGTTAGGGGTTAGGGGTTAGGGGTTAGGGGTTAGGGTTAGGGGTTGGTCTATGTAATAAGGGAACCTAGAGATACTTTTCTGCCTCTAAAATGTTGATGACAGATGGCAATGGTTGCTCTGAGCACTCTTGTCCGCGCTGGACTGTGTTGTTTGTTGCAGTAATGTGCGCAGTACAGCAGCACAGTATATTCCTGAGCTCTTCAACACTGCTGTTATTCCACGCTCTCCTATGACTTCTGTGAACGATCATGATCGTGACAGTAAACGTGCATGCGTGAGGAGAATATAGAGCATGATGATGATGACGTGTGCATATGTTACTCACGGCTAGAGTAAAGGTCAACAACAACAACTGAAGCGCTGAAATACAGCCGCTGTTCTTCCACTGGTAATACCGTGTCCATCTAGATGCTCATTCTCTCTCATAATCAGAGCGGCTGTGTTCGCAGTGGTGAATGTGTGTTAGCGTGTGATTAGCGCTCACCGCCTCCGTGATGTCGATCTTCACGACCGCAGTGGTGCTGAAGGATGGAGATCCGCGGTCTCGGGCCTGCACCACCACGGACCAGCGGCACTCCCTCTGCCTACTGATGTTCTGCACGATCTCCAGACTCTTGATGTAGGGTTTGAGCTTGATCTCGCCCGTGGACGTGTTGATGTCGAAGATGTTGTCTGGATCTGCTTTCATGATGGAGTACTCGATCAGGTTATTGGGCTCCTCTGCGTCCTCGTCCACCGCCTGAACACAGTCGGGTATTCACATAACCACAGATGTATCATCGCTCTAATCTGCCGCAGGGACAGATGGCGGCGCACAGAACATCAGCCTGTAAAATAACTCACCTGTATTTTCACCGGAGCGCCGATGATCATCGTCTTCTCCAGGAAGTTCTCGTTGAACTCTGGCGGATGGTCGTTTTGGTCGAGAACTGTCACGAAAACCTCCGCCAGGCTGTACTTGCCCTCGGTGTCTTCAGCTTTTACATAGAAATTATATTTGGACTTGACTTCGGCATCTAAAGCGGCCCAGGGCTGCGTGTAGATGATGCCGGACGAGGGATGGATGAGGAACCTGAAGCAGAGCAGAAGATCAGACTCGACACTGACCTCACATCTAGAGGAGAATAAGCCTGGTGTTATAGAGTGAAACCTGTCTAAAACATGAGCAGAACCGCCCTGCGCTGGACAACACCCGCCTCAGTGTCATACGGATGCCTCATACACAGAAGCTCATGGTTGAGGATGCTGATAAATGTGTGTGTGTGTGTGCATGTGTGTGTGTGTGTGTGTGTGTGTGTGTGTGTGATATTAGCAGAGCTGCAGTCGTCTGCTTTATTCTCGTCAGTGTGACGCTCTGCATGTGAAAATTAACAGTCAGACAGAAACCTGCTATCTTTCACACCGTTCTCATCTGCCTTCTGCACTGTGCAGGAATCGAGGCATAAATTTGCAGGTTTTTCATTACCCGTATGTGTTCTGCCTCCAGCTGTCACATCGCTCGCTAATTGGGCCCTGACTCACAGCGGCGTGGCGGCTATTTATACCTCCGCAATCGCATTAACAGATTAATGCTGGAGTCTGTCTGTAAGCTGTGTTCTGCACGTCCTTCAGTCCTGTACAGGCCTCACCAAAACAGCACAAGAGGAGGCCATCCGGACCCCAACCTCCGACCTCTGAGGGGTCGCACACACACGCCTCTGTTCTACATTGTGCGTCACACTTTTCTCTACACTGCCATCACACCCCATCAGCCGTCTACACCAGCGCTGCAGTTTGGCCTCATTCAGAGGATCAATGAAGATGAGCCGGGTCTCTCCAGGTTTCTCTCCTTCACTTTGGTCAGTTGGTGAAGTTTGTTCCTCCACTGTTCTGCTTGGTTTGGGTCTTGTGTTTCTGCTCATGGATGGATTTGCTCTTCAGTGTTTGGACTTTTGGCAGTGGAGATTAAATCACACTGAACTGAACTGAACTTCAGCTCTGAACACTCTGGATCTTCTGTGTTCAGCTGCTGACACACACTCTACACTGCAGAGGCGCTGGAGAAATAAACAAGGGTGAGGTGTGCAAATCTGGAGCTGCTGTTGATGATAGAGCAGCGTCTGCGATTGTTCAGATCAGAATCTGCAGAACAGAGGTCACTGCTTGTGGTTAGTGTACTCACAGATCCGCTCCGGAGCCGTAGATGGAGTATTTGACTTCACCCCACAGGCCTGAGTCCGGGTCAGTCGCCTGCAGAAACACCAGACACACACATCAGCGCTTCACAGACACGCAATACAACTACAGTTCAGCTCAGGGTGGGTGTGATGCTCACGGTCACGGAGACCACATTGGAGCCTCCAGGAGAGTTTTCAGGAATCCTGGCGATGTAGAACTCAGAGGAGAACTTAGGAGTGTTGTCGTTTGTGTCCAGAAGATTGATCACGATGTCTGCGGTGGCACTGAATCGCTCCGGAGTGTCGATCTCTACTGCTAACAGCTACAAACACACACACACACACACACACACACACACACACACACACACAAGACTTCACCGAGAGCTGCATCTGGACACAGGCTGACGCACAGCAGAGCAGAAACGCACCTTAAAGGTTAAGAACTGGTGTTTCTCGTAGTCGATGGCGCTGGAGTTCTCCACGATGACCGTGACCTGGGCTTCATTCAGGACCGTCTGAGGAACCACACGGAGAACCCGAGATGGTCCCACCAGCACAAGACGGAATTTAGCATTTGCCCCCTGAATGAGAAGAGTGGACAGAACACACTGCTGTAATAGAGGAAACGACAGAAAACCGAGAGACGCCCAGAGTCTGAGCAGAACAGCAGGAGTGAGGAAACAGAAACAGAATCTGGGTGATGAAGCACTGACTAGCACTGACTAGCTGCGTCCCAAACGGCACACTATACACTATACACGATGTTCTTATGCACTTACACACTCAGGATAGTACATGTATGTAGTGTCGTCCCAAATGGCACACTAATGTTTTTTACTAAGCAGAAATTCAAACCGTTTCCCTGATGACGTTTGACGATCGTTAAATCAATGAAATAAACGACCGAATTATCAAATAATACCTGCCGTGAGTATAACCGCATTCACCATCAGGAGGCGCTATAATCACTCTCGTAGGAGAATTTTGCTTTCACCATCCAAAATAAATAAAGTTATCCAACATGTGTCCGACAGCTTCGTCCCTTCCGCTACGTGAGCAAACCTGCGGTCGTTGAGTGCGTGAAGTGTCCATCAGTCCACACTTCATTTTAGCGGCTGAATGAGTGCAAATAAAGTGCTCTTACTATTATTATTAGAGTTTTCAGCGTGAACACACTACTCACACTATTTATACTACAAAATGGCGTAGAATAGTGCATAAGTATGCAATTTGGGACGCAGCTAGTGTGTGTGCTGTGTGTAGGGTTAGAAGGACTTTGTGAATCTTCAACATTGAAACATTAAGATCGTTTTCTTAAGCAGGACTGAAGGATCCACAGCTGAAACAGAGCTGCTGTCTCCAGTTCACCTGCTGCTTCAGTCTGCACAGCGCTGGAGGAAATGCTGCTGTCCCGTTCACTGTTCAGTGTCCACTGTTTAGTGGTCAGTGTTAACTGTTCAGTGTCCACTGTTTAGTGTTCAGTGTTCACTGTCTAGTGTCCACTGTTTAGTGTTCACTATCTTGGGTCCACTGTTAAGTGGTCACTGTTTAGTGTTAAGTGTTAACTGTTAAGTGTCTACTGTTTACTGTTCATTATCTAGTGTCCACTGTTTAGTGTTCAATGTTTAGTGTTCACTGTCTAGTGTCCACTGTTTAGTGTTCAGTGTTTAGTGTTCACTGTCTAGTGTCCACTGTTTAGTGTTCAGTGCCCTTCACCTGGTCGGAGTCGTTGACAGTGATCTTTAGTCCGCGCAGGATTTCTCCTTCTGCCGGGTGTTCATACATGCTGATGTCGAAGTGGTTCTGCTGGCCGCTTTCTCCGTAGAATGTGGGTGGATGATTGTTCAGATCCACCACCCGAATGGTGACGGTGGTGATGGAGGAGTCTGCAAGCACTCCATCAGCTCCGACCTCTGCAGCCTGGAGTACAGCACAGAAGGAGCATCACACACGTCTCCACTATACCGATATTCTGATCACTGTACTGTACCGATATTCTGATCACTGTACTGTACTGATATTCTTATTACTGTACTGTACTGATATTCTGATCACTGTACTGTACCGATATTCTGATCCCTGTACTGTACTGATATTCTTATTACTGTACTGTACCGATATTCTGATCCCTGTACTGTACTGATATTCTGATCACTGTACTGTACTGATATTCTTATTACTGTACTGTACTGATATTCTGATCCCTGTACTGTACTGATATTCTGATCCCTGTACTGTACTGATATTCTGATCCCTGTACTGTACTGATATTCTGATCCCTGTACTGTACTGATATTCTTATTACTGTACTGTACTGATATTCTGATCCCTGTACTGTACTGATATTCTGATCCCTGTACTGTACTGATATTCTGATCACTGTACTGTACTGATATTCTGATCACTGTACTGTACTGATATTCTGATCCCTGTACTGTACTGATATTCTGATCACTGTACTGTACCGATATTCTGATCCCTGTACTGTACCGATATTCTGATCACTGTACTGTACTGATATTCTGATCACTGTACTGTACTGATATTCTGATCACTGTACTGTACCGATATTCTGATCACTGTACTGTACTGATATTCTTATTACTGTACTGTACCGATATTCTGATCCCTGTACTGTACCGATATTCTGATCACTGTACTGTACTGATATTCTGATCACTGTACTGTACCGATATTCTGATCCCTGTACTGTACCGATATTCTGATCACAGTACTGATATTCTGATCCCTGTACTGTACCGATATTCTGATCACTGTACTGTACTGATATTCTGATCCCTGTACTGTACCGATATTCTGATCACTGTACTGTACCGATATTCTGATCACTGTACTGTACTGATATTCTGATCCCTGTACTGTACCGATATTCTGATCACTGTACTGTACCGATATTCTGATCACTGTACTGTACCGATATTCTGATCACTGTACTGTACCGATATTCTGATCACTGTACTGTACCGATATTCTGATCACTGTACTGTACCGATATTCTGATCACTGTACTGTACCGAAATTCTGATGTCTCTATTGTTATTCTGATGTCTGTACTGTTTCGATATACTGATGTCTCTACCGTACTGATAGTCTGATGACTGTACTGTACCAATATTCTGTTGTCTGTACTGTACTGTTATTCTGATGATTCTACTGTACCGATATTCATATGTCTCTATTGTTATTCTGATGATTCTACTGTACCGATATTCTGATGTCTCTATTGTTATTCTGATGTCTGTACTTTCCGATATTCTGATGTCTCTATTGTTATTCTGATGTCTGTACTGTACCGATATTCTGATGTCTCTATTGTTATTCTGATGATTCTACTGTACCGATATTGTGATGTCTCTATTGTTATTCTGATGTCTGTACTGTACAGATTTTCTGATGTATCTACATCTGTATGGATCATATTCTGATGTTCTGACTTTAAACACAGCTAACCTGCACTCTGAGCTCGTACAACTCATTCCTCAGCTGAACAGGAAACGAGACCAGACTGATGCAGCCGCTGGAGCTGTTGATGCTGAAGAAGCCGTCACTGCCTTTGGGAAGAAGAAGAAGAAGAGAAGGAGAAAGAGAAAAAATAAAAAGAAGAGGAGGAAGAAGAAGTGGAGGAGGACATGGAAAAGGTAGAGGAAGATGAGGAGGTAGAGGAAGAGGAGGAAGAAGAAGAAGGGAAGAGGAAAAATTTACAACAACAGTAGGGGAATTGCAACGGGTGTGAGAGCTAATCTGCTAAGCGGAGCGTCTGAGAACCGAGCTCTCGCTATTGTTCATAGCAGACTGAAGCGCAGACGAGCAGACTGAAGCGCTCGGTCACTGTGTTTATAACTGAAGGATCTGGCCGGTGCAGATGTGCACATGTGGAGTTACAGTTTCTCACCGTTCAGGATGGAGTAATGAATAGGGTTGGGGCTGCTCTGGTCTCCATCCTTCGCAAAAACAGTAAAAATCTCTGAACCCTGGACACAAAACCATCAGCAGAGCTCAGTTTCTGCACCTCATGAATATTCATTGCCTGATTCATTAATGCAGCAGTTCACGCTCATTTATCTACAACCCCAAACCAGCAGCAGTCGGGACAGCATGGAAACACAATAAAGGAGACAGTAGTGACTTCCAAATGTATTTTGACTGTGTATTGTCTGGAGTGTGTCGCAGGTCTGAATGACAGGAGAGGATGAATATTTCCAAATGAAAAGAAGTTGAGCAGACCAAACATCAGATATTTTGTGTTCAGGCTCAATCAAAAGTCAAAGGAAATTTAGAAATCTCCACTTTAAACTTTGATTTGGCTTTGTCCTACTGCTGCTGATTTGGGGTTGCATAACCCTTTCTAGTACACAAACTGAAGGACACTGCATCAGTTCAGTTATTGTGTGTTTTAGAAGTGGAATAGAGAGATGCTTACCGGGACAGAGACTTCATAGACAAACCCAAAATATGGAGTGCCAACAAACACTGGAGGAGAATCCTGGACGTCCTGCACATGTATGGTAATGACAGCGGTGGAGCTCAACACCTGGTATTTACCATGATATTTACCGCCTCCGTCCTGAAACACACACACACACACACACACACACACACACACACACACACACACACACACACACACACACACACACGCACACACACACACACACACAATGGTCTCAGTTAAGCTGATAACAAAACATTTATGGGTGTAAACACTTTTGTTGAAGATCCACATGAGCGCTGGATGCTCAGGGCTTCACCTTTGCCACCACAGTGATGAAATGTGTCCGTGACGTCTCAAAGTCCAGCCGCTCCCTGACCCGCAGAACACCACTGTGACCGTCAATGCTGAACAGACCATCAGGAGACGACTGCAGACCAGAGACACGCATGAAGAGGAGTATACACACACACACATACACACACACACACACACACACACACACACACACACACACACACACATACACACACACACACACACACACTTCTGTCCAGAGTTAAACAGGTCCATTTGAAGGCGGACGCTCTTGACTCTGGAGGTCAAACAGTGAGGCGTTTTATAATGACCAAACCAACATTTCAGATGTTACAGTGTGCTCAGCCTGATGGGTTATCCATTCACACACATTTTTATCATCACATGATCTCTCATCACAAGATCACATCACCTTTTTAATGCGCTTGCTGGAGTTTGTGCAGTAAAAGTGTTTCCATCGCAGTTTGTGTGCATCTTTTCTTATCGGATAAAAAGTTTATCATACTCAGTTATGCGCACACGTTTTTAATGCGCATTTTCAAAATGTATTCGCATCATGGCGTTTCCATCAAATGCTTTATTATGCGCATAAAAACAGGTGAATGTAAACACAGCTAGTGTCAGCTGTCTGACCGATGCAGCGTCACTGACACTCTTTCATCAGAGACAGCAGTCCAACATACACAGAACTGCAGAGCGGGCCAACACAGATTCACTGAAGTGCCCTCAGTATGGAGCATGTGTGTAGAAATATTCCTCATAGTGTTTGGGTTAATAGCGGCGCCTAGAGATGAGTAACATGAGATGATTATGAGTGCCACAGTCTGAAACCGCACAATCAGAGAGAGGAGTGACGAGAGGAGGCCACGGAGGAGCTGAAGCACCGCCGCCACTGCTGCTGCTGTAGGTGAGGACTGATGCTGCCTCAGATGAACTTAACATCTGCTAGACACACACACACACACACACACACACACACACACACACACACACACACACACACACACGTAGGCGAGTGCTGAGGTACAGCATGTTAAGCCCAGCCTGTGTAAATGTGATTGGAATATAATCCAGCCGCTGCTCTGTCCTGCTCGCCCAGACCCTCAAACTCACCACTGACCCTCACTCTCACCCTCACCCTCACACCGACCGCTGACCCTCACCACTGACCCTCACACCGACCACTAGGGTTGGGTATAGTTTGGGTTTTTTTCGATACCAGGGCTTAATCGATACTTTTAAAACGGTACCGGTGCCAAAACGGTCCCTGAACCGATACCTTTTAGCCACAAAATTAATCGAAAAAAAAAAAAAAAAATTATATATATATTAATCATTATAATTAAACAATATAAATATATATTTATAAAACGTTTGAAGTAAACAGCAATTCATATTTTATATATTTGAATTGGATTAATTTATTTCTTTTGATCTTTGTTTGGTAGCATAAATGCCAGATTTGCATTATTAACAATATATTAGCTTTACTACTAACCTGTGGAAAGGCTGTCATCAAAATCAGGGAACACCTTTTTTCTGGGCTTTTGACTACTTTTACATGGACATCAGTGATCTAATGATTTGCATTAATCTGAATAAGACAATAATATGATTGAGGTGTTTACATGAGCTGCTTTATTAATGTTACATTCATGATTCCCAGTTACATGTTCCAGCACATAAATCACTAACATCATTGTGTCACCACCAGCCTAATGTTTACTCCGCAGTTTGTGTCTGTGATCCTTTGAGATCAAACATCAGTGTTTACGTAGTAGACTCGTGATCAGAGTATTGTCTTCATCATATAGAGTACTGGTGTTCATGTAAACATACTCAGATAATGTGCCAGATGATGTCACAAGCTGTCAAAGACAGTCCCTTCCTCACCTTGAAGTTGATTGGATGAGCTTTAACATTTCATAAGTTTGACGTGTTTCTCTCTTACACGAAACTTTTGTAAAGCATCTGCTGCGTGTTGGTGTGTCAGAATCCTTGCTTGTAAAATATAGCCATACTTTAGAATGCTAAGTTTAAGCTAATTAGATGAATGCGATCATGTGTGTTGATGAAGTGAGTCGCTCACCGCATGCGCCGTACTGCGCACTTTGCCTTTTATAAGCTACAATAACAAACGCCTGACATAGCAAATATCCGTATCCCTCAATGCTGTTTAGAAATAAACATTTAGATATAGTGTGACACAACGCTTACTTACATGCACCTTTAACGCACCCTTTTGTGCTTCTTAAGGGCGTAAGCGGATGGGTCGCTCGGAGCCGCGGCACGGCGCGCACATGACAGTTGATCACACATCAGACGCGTACATTCGCATGTTATTTAAAATGAAACTATTCAGATGGCGCTCTGTGGCATGGCAGTCGTGCCTGGGTGCCGCGGACAGCCGCTGACTTGCGAATTCATGGCGCTGTTCATAACCGATGCGACGCTTCTGGTGCGCGACCTGCTTTACATTCTTGTTGCAGCACCGAAATTAGGCACCGAAATTCTGATTTGATCCTGATTTGATTTCGGTACCCAACCCTACTGAACACTGACCCTCACACCGACCTCTGACCCTCACACCGACCGCTGACCCTCACACCGACCGCTGACCCTCACGCCGACCGCTGACCCTCACACTCACCCTCATGCTCACCACTGACCCTTACACTCACCCTCTCTGTTGAACCTTACACTCACACTCTCCGCTGACCCTCACACTCACCCTGACGCTCACCGCTGACCCTCTCACTGACTGCTGACCCTCACCACTGACCCTCACACCGACCGCTGACCCACACAGTCACTCTCACCACTGACCCTCGTACTCACCCTCATGCTCACTGCTGACCCTCACACTAACCCTTTCCGTTGACCCTCAAACTCACCCTCTCCTCTGACCCTCACAATCACCCTCACACTCACCGCTGACCCTCACACTCACCCTCTCTGCTGACCCTCACACTCACATCACGCTTAGAAAGGGGAAATAAGCAGTTCATACAGGAAGTAGTTAGTCTGACCTGCAGAAAGTAGGAGACACTTCCTCCAGAGCCAAGGTCTCTGTCCACGGCCTGGACCCTGAAGATGCTGCAGCCGGATGCCACGTCCTTCAACACACACAAACACACACACACACACACACACACACACACACACACACACACAAACACACACTTAAAGCTTTATCCAAGCACGCGCACGCGCACGCACACACACACACACACCTGCTGACTCAAACACTGGTGTCCACATTTACCTCCGGGACGTCCACTCGCAGCGGCAGGTTCATGAACTCCGGCTTCTCATCGTTCACATCTGTGATGAACACTCGCACGCTCTCCACAACCTGCACACACAGCAGGAGAACAGCAGATCAGACCAGGTGTACAATCACACACACACACACACACACACACACACACACACACACACACACACACACACACACGGCCTACTTCATACATTAAACACAAAACACACACACACACACACACACACACACACACACACACTGCACAGACGTGCGTCATCGGCTCATGCGTCATGAAGGCATGACAGAATCACACTCTAGTCAGTGTTAGAGCGTCACAGCATCAGGAGGTGTGCAGGAGATCTGGAGGAGGAAAACTGATCTGTAATCAGCAGAGGGTGGCACAGGGTCAGGGGTCAGCACTGTCACTCACAGAGGGAAGGTCACAGAATCAGGTGTGTGATGAGTCAGAAATCTGGCCAATAGAGGAGCTGCGCATAATAAGCTTTCTGTGTTGTCAGCGCGAGTCTCTTCCCATCATGCATTGCTTCAGATGATGTCCAGCACATTTACAGACATGCAAAAAGCTCAGACACACACACACATACACACACACACACACACACACACACACACACACACACAGGTGTGTTCTCACCTTGTTTCTGCCGTCTGTGATGCTCACTGATGCGATGATCTCGTCCTGAAGCTTCACAATCAAACACAGAGTCAGATGAGCAGCGGTCCGCCGAGGGGGGGTAGCGGGTTACATTTCCTCCCGCTACTGTACTGTAGTAGTCTGTTATTCTATCTCTGTCTGTTCTAGTGACCCATCTATCTGTTAATTTTCATTGCACCAGGCCCTCGGTAACTCCCTCCGCTGCTGTTTCCTTCACCTGCAACTCCTTATATATATCCTGAAGAGCTGTCTGCTTCATGAGCATACATGCAAAGCTATATGTATATATATTTAATAATTAAAAGACGGTATTCAGATGATCAGGTCTCAGTGTGGAGCACTAGCTGATGTCAGACTCCCAACACAAACAAAAATGGCTGAATATTTACAATTAATAGCTAAATGTATTTAAAACAGACATACTTTTGAAAATGTGCTCATGCCTCTGTGGTTACTGTGGTTAAAGTAACCAAAAAGTAATGCAAAAGTTGTGTAATGCATTTATGAGGCATTAATATTGAAATGTTACCAATTACAAAAAAGATAATTGATGTAATAAATGACAGTAAATTTTATGTATTGCATTTTGGAAGTAACATGCCCAATCGTGTTTGTAACATAGCTAATGTTCATTAGCACTAGGATTAGATATTAACAAGGACTTGGAGCAAAACTGTCTATGCACAATTTAGCTAACATAGCAGACCTGTGACGAACAGCGACCGGTGACGAACAGCGACCGGTGATGAACAGCGGTCGGTGATGAACAGCGGTCGGTGACGAACAGCGACCGGTGATGAACAGCGGTCGGTGATGAACAGCGGTCGGTGATGAACAGCGGTCGGTGATGATCAGCGGTCGGTGATGATCAGCGGTCGGTGATGAACAGCGGTCGGTGATGAACAGCGGTCGGTTATGAACAGCGGTCGGTGATGAACAGCGGTCGGTTATGAACAGCGGTCGGTGATGAACAGCGGTCGGTTATGAACAGAGGTCGGTGATGAACAGCGGTCGGTTATGAACAGCGGTCGGTGATGAACAGCGGTCGGTTATGAACAGCGGTCGGTGATGAACAGCGGTCGGTGATGATCAGCGACCGGTGATGAACAGCGGTCGGTGATGAACAGCGGTCGGTGATGATCAGCGGTCGGTTATGAACAGCGGTCGGTGATGAACAGCGATCGGTGATGAACAGCGACCGGTGATGAACAGCGGTCGGTGATGATCAGCGGTCGGTGATGATCAGCGGTCGGTGATGAACAGCGGTCGGTGATGAACAGCGGTCGGTTATGAACAGCGGTCGGTGATGAACAGCGGTCGGTTATGAACAGCGGTCGGTGATGAACAGCGGTCGGTTATGAACAGAGGTCGGTGATGAACAGCGGTCGGTTATGAACAGCGGTCGGTGATGAACAGCGGTCGGTTATGAACAGCGGTCGGTGATGAACAGCGGTCGGTGATGATCAGCGACCGGTGATGAACAGCGGTCGGTGATGAACAGCGGTCGGTGATGATCAGCGGTCGGTTATGAACAGCGGTCGGTGATGAACAGCGATCGGTGATGAACAGCGACCGGTGATGACAGCGGTCGGTGATGAACAGCGGTCGGTGATGATCAGCGGTCGGTGATGAACAGCGGTCGGTTATGAACAGCGGTCGGCGATGATCAGCGGTCCGTTATGAACAGCGGTCGGTTATGAACAGCGGTCGGTTATGAACAGCGGTCGGTGATGAACAGCGGTCGGTGATGATCAGCGGTCGGTGATGAACAGCGGTCGGTGATGAACAGCGGTCGGTGATGAACAGCGGTCGGTGATGAACAGCGGTCGGTGATGAACAGCGGTCGGTGATGAACAGCGGTCGGTGATGAACAGCGGTCGGTTATGAACAGCGGTCGGTGATGAACAGCGGTCGGTGATGAACAGCGGTCGGTGATGAACAGCGGTCGGTTATGAACAGCGGTCGGTGATGAACAGCGGTCGGTGATGATCAGCGGTCGGTGATGAACAGCGGTCGGTGATGAACAGCGGTCGGTGATGAACAGCGGTCGGTGATGAACAGCGGTCGGTGATGAACAGCGGTCGGTGATGAACAGCGGTCGGTGATGAACAGCGGTCGGTTATGAACAGCGGTCGGTGATGAACAGCGGTCGGTGATGATCAGTATTCGGTTAGGAACATTATTAGTCTTATATTACTCGCATGACCTCTGACCTCTCTGTCCAGATGCTCCACCAGGGTCACTCTGCCAGATTTGGGCTCCACACTGAAGAACTGTTTAGAGCCCTTATCAAAGGTCACACCAAAGGTCACAGGGTCACCCTCGGGGTCAGAGCCGTTCAGGGTGTAGACATGAGTCCCTGCGGAGAAGAAAAGAGCGATGATGATTATTGTTCATCAGTGTTGTGTGTGTGTCTGTTGTGTATCAGTGTTGTGTGTGTCTGTTGTGTATCAGTGTTGTGTGTGTCTGTTGTGTATCAGTGTTGTGTGTGTCTGTTGTGTATCAGTGTTGTGTGTGTCTGTTGTGTATCAGTGTTGTGTGTGTCTGTTGTGTATCAGTGTTGTGTGTGTCTGTTGTGTATCAGTGTTGTGTGTGTCTGTTGTGTATAAGTGTTGTGTGTGTCTTTTGTGTATCAGTGTTGTGTGTGTCTTTTGTGTATCAGTGTTGTGTGTGTCTGTTGTGTATCAGTGTTGTGTGTGTCTGTTGTGTATAAGTGTTGTGTGTGTCTTTTGTGTATCAGTGTTGTGTGTGTCTTTTGTGTATCAGTGTTGTGTGTGTCTGTTGTGTATCAGTGTTGTGTGTGTCTGTTGTGTATCAGTGTTGTGTGTGTCTGTTGTGTATCAGTGTTGTGTGTGTCTGTTGTGTATCAGTGTTGTGTGTGTCTGTTGTGTATCAGTGTTGTGTGTGTCTGTTGTGTATCAGTGTTTTGTGTGTCTGTTGTGTATTTGTGTTGTGTGTGTCTGTTGTGTATCAGTGTTGTGTGTGTCTTTTGTGTATCAGTGTTGTGTGTGTCTGTTGTGTATCAGTGTTGTGTGTGTCTTTTGTGTATCAGTGTTGTGTGTGTCTGTTGTGTATCAGTGTTGTGTGTGTCTGTTGTGTATCAGTGTTGTGTGTGTCTGTTGTGTATCAGTGTTGTGTGTGTCTGTTGTGTATAAGTGTTGTGTGTGTCTTTTGTGTATCAGTGTTGTGTGTGTCTTTTGTGTATCAGTGTTGTGTGTGTCTGTTGTGTATCAGTGTTGTGTGTGTCTGTTGTGTATAAGTGTTGTGTGTGTCTGTTGTGTATCAGTGTTGTGTGTGTCTTTTGTGTATCAGTGTTGTGTGTGTCTGTTG